CCAATGACATTCTCATGGCCTCAGATAATAGAATTGTATGTGCACTTGTCCTGTTAGATCTCAGTGCTGCATTTGTGCAATTGATCATAATGTTCTTGTCATGATGTTTTTAAGAGATCTGACCCACATGCAGATAACCACTCAGAGAACCAGGGGAAAGGTTTAACAGGTTTATTGATAAGGAACACAGGAGTTGTATCTGGAGCTCAGAGCATAGGTGAACCGGAACTAGAAGGTCTGGAGAGGAGATCACTGTGATTAGTTCAGGGTCCGTAGGAAATCTGATTCAGATCTTGAAAGCTGTCAGAACGGGACTCACGATGGAGGGGGTTACTTGCTTGTCCTTGAATCCAGTTGGTGTGAGTTTATCCAGAGAGGAGGGAACTCGTTGGAGGGCGGACAGGTTGACTTTGGTTGGACCCTGAGGAGTAATGGAGCGGTTGCCACTTGGATTTCCGTTGGGCACTTGAACGGGACGTATGGAGGTTTTTCCCCTGCTCACTGTGAACACAAACAATCCTTCCAGGGGGAGAAGGCCAAACATCCAGTATGCAGGAAGGCTTCCTGCCCAAAGGCAAAGACAAAAAACGACGTTAGAAACAAAACTAAGATTAGACTCAGCTAAACTCAGCTTGGCTGGAGTACCCAAAACAGGCAAACACTCTGGCGTCAAGGTGGTGACAGTCCACTGCTGAAATACTCCTCTGTGATGAATCAATCAGCCGCAGGTGTGCAGGAGGACCAACAAGGACAGGGCACCACCTGGTGGTGGAGGGAGAGAAAAACACAAAAGCAACCCACACAAACTGGATTCCTAACAATTCATTTAGAAATACATGATTATTTTATAGGATTAAGGGAACAGCACTAGCCATCAAATAATGTGGCATCCTTTTGTCCTAAGACATTACCCAGTCCATATCAGTATAAATAAACAGCATGATTTTTTCCCCATTGAGATCTGATGTGTTTTCAAAGTGTTCCTTTAAATTTTTTGAGCAGTGTATATACACTCACCGGCCACTTTATTAGGTACACCTGTCCAACTGCTCGTTAACACTTGACTTCTAAGCAGCCAATCACATGGCGGCAACTCAGTGCATTTAGGCATGTAGACATGGTCAAGACAATCTCGTGCAGTTCAAACCGAGCATCAGTATGGGGAAGAAAGGTGATTTGAGTGACTTTGAACGTGGCATGATTGTTGGTGCCAGAAGGGCTGGTCTGAGTATTTCAGAAACTGCTGATCTACTGGGATTTTCACACACAACCATCTCTAGGGTTTACAGAGAATTGTCAGAAAAAGAAAAACATCCAGTGACCGGCAGTTCTGAAGGCGGAAAGGCCTTGTTGATGCCAGAGGTCAGAGGAGAATGGCCAGACTGGTTCGAGCTGATAGAAGGGCAACAGTGACTCAAATAACCACCCGTTACAACCAAGGTGGGCAGAAGAGCATCTCTGAACGCACAGTACATCGAACTTTGAGGCAAATTGGCTACAGCAGCAGAAGACCACACCAGGTGCCACTCCTTTCAGCTAAGAACAGGAAACTGAGGCTACAATTTGCACAAGCTCATCGAAATTGGACAATAGAAGATTTGAAAAACGTTGCCTGGTAAGATGAGTCTGGATTTCTGCTGCGACATTCGGATGGTAGGGTCAGAATTTGGCGTCTACAACATGAAAGCATGGATCCATCCTGCCTTGTATCAACGGTTCAGGCTGGTGGTGGTGGTGTCATGGTGTGGGGAATATTTTCTTGGCACTCTTTGGGCCCCTTGGTACCAATTGAGCATAGTTGCAACGCCACAGCCTACCTGAGTATTGTTGCTGACCATGTCCATCCCTTTATGACCACAATGTACCCAACTTCTGATGGCTACTTTCAGCAGGATAATGCGCCGTGTCATAAAGCTGGAATCATCTCAGACTGGTTTCTTGAACATGACAATGAGTTCACTGTACTCAAATGGCCTCCACAGTCACCAGATCTCAATCCAATAGAGCATCTTTGGGATGTGGTGGAACGGGAGATTCGCATCATGGATGTGCAGCCGACAAATCTGCGGCAACTGTGTGATGCCATCATGTCAATATTGACCAAACTCACTGAGGAACGCTTCCAGCACCTTGTTGAATCTATGCCACGAAGAATTTAGGCAGTTTTGAAGGCAAAAGGGGGTCCAACCTGTTACTAGCATGGGGTACCTAATAAAGTGGCCGGTGAGTGTATGCTTCCAATCAATAGAGTTATTAGACAGCATGGTATTCATTTCCACTGTTATGCTGGTGATACTCAGATATATCTGTCTATAAATTCAGATGAAGCTAACCCAGATTACAGCCATGTCTTGAAGACATGAAACAGTGGATGACTCTTAACTTTCTGCTTCTGAATGCTAAAAGAAATGATTGTCTTTGGAAAAAGTCTTTTAAACAGAAGCTGATTATTCCGTTACTTCATTTGGAAGGCATTAATTGATCTCAGATAATAAAATAAAAAATACAAAATCTTGGTGTTATTTCTGATCAGAGCCTGTCATTTAAATCATAGAAGTTTATAGAATTTTCATCTTCCATCTGAAGAATATTGCAAAAAAAAAAAAAAAAAGTCTCATCCGGGGGTGATGCTGAGAAACTAGTCCATGCATTTGTTACTTCAAGGCTGGACTATTGTAATTCTTTACTCTTAGAAAGTCCAAAAACTGCTGTTAAAACCTTCAGCTGATCCAAAATGCCGCAGCCAGAGTTCTTAAGAAAATTAAACATGGAGAACATATTTATCTTATCCTAGCTTCTATTCATTGGCTTCCTGTTAAATCCAGAAGATAATTTAAAATCCTGCACTGCAAAAACAATCTAGAAATAAGAACAAATTTCTTAAATTAAGTGTATTCACCCTTAATTTGAGTAGGTAAATGAGATAGTTTGCCAATGGAATGAGTAATTTTACTCTTAAAATAAGATAATTAGATAATATGCACTTGAAATAAGACAATGCAATTGTGTTTTCTTATTTTAAGTGTAAATTGTCCTGTTCCATTGGCAAAATATCTCTTTTACCTCCTCAATCCAAGAACAAATGCACTTATTTTAAGACAAAATGACTTTTCTAGATTCAGATTTTTTGCAGTGTGGAATGACTAGATCACTAGAATCACTAGTGGAGTGAATGAGGTTAAGTTGAGTGTGGCAGAATACAAAAGGATTGTGGTGACATCAAACAAAGCATGGGTGTGCAAAGTGAACTATTACACTTGTATTAAATTATTACACTTGTATGATGATTGAACACTCAGCTCTACATGGAAAAGCATACTGATTAACAGAAATAAGGGCTTTAAAAATGATTCACCTTGTGATCTGAATTACTGAAATAAATACTTTACAGTCATATTCACAAACAAACATTCACGTTTGTTTCTCTATTTGTAATGTGGACTCCCATTGCTTTTCAGTCATTTTTAACCCTTTCTATGCCCTAACCCAGCCCAATTGACACCTTAGCCCTAAACCTAACGATTAGAAAAAATACCTTGTGAGGACCTGCAAAATATCTCACTTTACAACAACTAATCCTCATTGTGATGGTGGAATTGAAAACATTGTCCTCAATCTGCTTTCCATACAAGTGCACACATACAACTGTGTTTTCATCACTTAAGGGGACATTTCATTGACTTGCATTCAATTTATATAGCCTAACACAGACCCTTACCCTAACCCTAACTGTTACCAATATATCCACAACTCTAACCTAACCCTAACTCCAACTCACTGGACAGAACTTGACCGTGTGGGACCAGTTGAATGTTGTAACATGTATGTATGATATTTTACAAAATACTGCACCCACATTATATATATATATATATATATATATATATATATATATATATATATATATATTTGGGCTGGGCGATATAGAAAAAAAGCTTATCGATAAAAAAAAATGCATATTGATCGATATCGATAATTATTGAAAAGATTTGAAACCACATTTTATGTGCAGCTCTGCCTGGACTTTTTATAATATTGCTAAATGATTTAATTTTAATAAAAAACACAACCACAGACTTCGAATTAAATCTTTATTTAACCAACTTTTTTAACCATAACAGAATTGTTTTAAAGAAAAATAACTTAAGAGACCTGGGTTATGTTATTAAATACTGACAAAGAATAAACTAAAGTGACCAGAAAAGTGATCAAAATAAATATGACAAATAAATAAATGCCCCCCCACCGCCGCCGCCGCCCCCGTTTCCTGCTTTAACCTGAGTTATTACTTTGAAGTTTCTGGCCCCTCAGCATTTTTATCTCAATTGTTAGAACTACGTGGGAAACTGCCCAGAACTGAAAATATATATATATTTTCCCGAAATTCCCGAAGATTCCTCGGAGGAGAACCGCGTCGGGGCCTACACAGCTCGTACTCCTGCGGGTGTGAGCGGCTGAGATGATAAAAAAAAAAAAAAAAAAAAGTTGGTTGTGTTATCAGACTTGGTTTTCACTAGTTCCCGACACATTTTACAGATGACTGTGGTTTGTTTTTGGTCCGACTTGCCATGACCGAAATACTGCCAAACTGGCGAACTACAAAAACCCTTCTTTGAAACAATAATTCCGCCTCTCCTTGCTGCGACATCTTCATGTGCTCTGTGTTGTGGTTTGAGAGGGCGGCGCTTGGTGACGGCATGCCTGGGTCCGCGATTGTGATTGGTTGGGAGGAAGCAGTGACTAGCATAAACCTACATGCTAGGCTACAATGAGAAGGAAGGAAAACTGCGTTTCTTTTTTATCGAACTTTTATCGACCCTCTTTTTTTCTATTGCGCCACACGTCTATCGATCGATATGTATCGTTATTAAATTATCGCCCAGCCCTAATATATATATATATATATATATATATATATATATATATATATATATATATATATATATATATATATATATATATATAATAAATATACTTAATGGAATATTTATCTGTGTCAGAAATACCATCAACTGAGAATCAAGATCCTGGGAGACTGCTATTACTGTATCTGTGGACTTCCAGACTACAGGGAGGACCATGCTGCCTGTTCCATCAGAATGGGCCTTGCAATGGTGGATGCAATTTCGTGAGTCCATCAAATACTTTTTAATAAATTGTTTTATTTTTATTCCAGTACAACTATTTTTACTTTCTTACCCTTTACTTGTTTCATATTGATCATGATCCTAGGGTTGACTTCCAGCTTTGAAAACTAATCAAATTAGCCCATATAATTCTGACATTATCTAGCAAATGTGTTTCCTCACAAAAAGAAAAGCACTGATCATAAAATTTAAGAAAAACTCAAATTTTTATGTCATCAAATGACTGGTTCAAAAAACCTGGTCTGTTCTCTGGACATGGACCACATTATCCTGGATTGTGCTACTTCAGAGCTTTCAGTGCTTCCAATGGTCAAACAGTCATCAGGATGCAATAGTAGCCTGGTCATGAAACACATAACCTGTGCTAATTTGGCTGTACTATATTCATTTCTTACTGTTATCAGTCACAGTCTAGATCAGTGGTTCCCATAGGGGGGGCGCAATGCCATTGCAGGGGGGGGGGGCGCAGGAAGCGGTATGGATGAATGAAGAAAAAAAAAAACAGTGCTTGCTTGACTGAGCATAATCGACAGTTGTGACACTGCAACCCAGATTTGAGAAGATCTACAGCAACAAGCAGGCTCACTACAGCCACTGAAAAGATGGGAGGATTAAAGTACAAAGAAAAAACTCTCAGGGAGCTGTTCAATGTTTTCACTCCATTTTGCACAGAGGCTTTTTTAATGTATTGATGATAGCAAAGTTAAATATTGTTACGAATTAAAAAAAAAAACAAATATGTTTAAAATAACACAGACAACAAAGAATCCTCTTGTAATCTACAGTATAGAACTATGAAAAAAATACAAACAAAAGTGTTCCACTGTAAAGATGGTGTGTAGTTTGTTTTGTTGCAACCTAAAGTGTGAAATAAACTTCAGTGGAGTTTGAAAACAAAATATGTGTATAGGTTTATTATATCAGGTTGAACGATGTGTGTGCCCAGTTGATTTTATTTTTTTTTGGGGGGGGGTGGGTGGGTGGAAATTTTATTGTAATCCAAAGGGGGGCCCAGAAGAAAATCTTTGGGAACCACTGGTCTAGATAGTCTGTTATCAATATTTACTTTTTTGTTAGATGAGATTATTTTATTTCTTTATAATTCACAGGCAAAAAATGGTCTGATATTGGGAAAAAGATTGCAAAAATAATTCTTGAAAATCTGGACTTTTCTGTGTTTCATCAGCTTTATAAAAAGTAAGGACAATCATATACTCAACGAGACTGGATCTTACTATGTAACCAAAATGTGGTGCATTATAGTATACGAGGATCGTATTTTCCATCTATCTACATCTTGCAATTTTTTTGTATCTTTAAGTAGAGAATTTAATTGTGACATTTGCTAAATGGTTAGTGCATAGTAAAAACATAAAACAAACAAAACTACACTTGTAGCAGGGCGTTAGTGAAATGTTCAAGGACATTACCAGAGCAGAGTAATCCGAAAAATATTAAGTCACTTGCAGCTACAAAGTAAGAAATCAGGGTAACTACAGCTTAGATACTGTAAAAGTATTTCTTTCTGGAGCCATGAGGAGTGACTAAAAAGGTTTTAATGTTGTGACTAAATTTTCCAGTGGCACAGGAAAAAAAAGTTTGATTTGCACCAGTTTATTAAATAAGTCACAGGAAGTATCTGAAAAGTTGTTAAATACAAGGACTAAATCACTGCTGGGCCATGGCCGCAACTTTTTAAATAAAATGTATCTAAGCCATTTTCTTTTTACAACATTTATTGATCCTTAAATTGGCAAATTAAGATATATTTTTTTCAAAATAATGTTTTATCTACCCAATTGAATTGTTAATTGGTTTAGAATACTACCGACAGTTGTACTCATTAGTTTGAAAACTAATTTGACATTTCTCAAGATAACATAAACATGCATTAGTGCTCTGGTGACATTGTTAATTTAATTGATTATGCTGTTTTAATTATTTTCATTATCACCCTTTGCTCTTTTATTTGTACAGAGTTCATGAGTCTTCTTTCATTATCTATTTTAATGTGACTTCACTAGCCTGAAAAGTTGTTTAACTTGAAGCTGAATTCTTTTCTGATATTAAGTTCTTAATATGGACACAAGTGGAACTTCAGATAAAGCTGACCTGCATTTTGGTAGGTTATGGGGTGGATCTTGTGTATAAAATTTAGATTGTTTTGCTAGTCATACTGAATAATATATTTTGTAGACATTTTAAAAATCCATCAATCAAGCATTTTTGCATTAATCCACTCCAACTAGAATGTACTGTGTCATAATGGAGTTTGTTAGTGACCTTGCTAAAAGTGGTATATTGATCACACTCATGGAAAGTTATTGACTCTTTCTGGGTTTTAAAAAAAAGAAATCATTATGGAAATTGATTATGATGCAACAGCTGTGGTCAGTCTGGCATAACTTGACTTAAAATCTCAATCTAAAAAAACAAAAAAAAACAACAGAAAATCCCAATGTGATTAGTCTGAACTTTTACTTCCTTTTTCTACTGTAGTTCAGTGAATTTAACATGATTTTGGACATTTACCATTAAGCTCAGTTTCTCCATATGCAAGTTATGGTAAAATATTTCATTTATGTTGATCTTAAACACGATTAAGAAATATCTGCTTTAATCTATCTAGGATTCAATCTGTTTTCAGAATTTTGACTTACATATAAGAAGGTCCATAAGCTGTGTTTTTTTTAATGGGACTTTATGTTGCCTTTTATTTACTGTACTTGTAAATGCAATACTAGGTATGTCCGAGAGAAAACCCGGACTAATGTTGACATGAGGGTTGGAGTGCACAGTGGAACAGTACTTGGTGGAGTCCTGGGACAGAAGCGTTGGCAGTATGATGTTTGGTCAACAGATGTCACAGTAGCCAACAAAATGGAAGCTGGAGGCATTCCTGGGTAAGTGCAAGTTCTATGATTTGTTTGACACGGTTTTGGCTCTGTTTAAGTTTTCTTTTTTAGTTTTCTGTTTCACTTTGATCCATCCTTTTCTTTGTTTTCTAGTTTTATTAGTTCAGTTATTTTGTGTTTTTTTTTTTTTTATATATTGATTTCTAAGGTATTTCTTGTTTGCTTTTTGGTGCCGACTTGTGTTGTTCTATTTTTCCTTAGCTCCTTTCTAGACTCCTCTGTTCACACTTGCTCCCAATCTGCTGATTAGCCTTTCTTAAAATGACGTTATCACTTATCCCGTAATAATCCTGACATCCTACAAAATAATATTATAATAAGCTATGATAAATATCTGGCTCATTTATTTGAAGGAACAGAGTTTATCACATTTTCTAGATTGCATATGCACATGGCATTAACAAAAATACATTTTTGAATATGAACCACTTAAATCTATAATTAGAAATACATTCAAGCAGATTGTGGTTATTTACAAATTCCAAATAATATATAAGAGTTCCTAGTGTTAAACCCCCCAAAACTACTGCCTAAAATATGCAGGACATTGACTAAACTAGATGATACAAGGTTGAAGGGCTTCGTGTCTGGCCACCTATCTCGGTACTGGTCCATGCCATCTTCTGGTGCGGGCTTCATCCGAGGTGAGGGCTTCTGCATTGTTCTTGCTGACTGGCTAACCATTTTTTTCTTTTTTTTTTTTGGACAGCCATGAGGTTTGTTGGGGGTGTGGAGGTGTTAGCCCTGGTGAGTGGTTGGCTCACAGGCCCTGCGGCCTGACCCTTAACTGAGACTTTGCCAATATGGTGGTGCGACTGGCAGGGCCCCCCTCTCCGGATGGGTTCTTGGGGAACAGGGGTGCCTATTCGAGTCAGTGGGGGAGCTGGCTCCCTGGGAGTGCAGTAGGCCCCCCCAGTCTTTTTCTTCCCATTCCCAGACTCCTCCCTTTGCCTGCTCCATCACACTGCAACACATGTAGGACCTTGGGAGGGGGTCGTTACTGGAGCATCCCACGTTCTGATAATGTCCCCCCACCCCAGGGTACCGGGGCTGACATTGCCGGTGCTGACATGTCTGCTCTTCCCAAAAAGTGGTGGGGTGGCTAGGGTATGGAGGGGGAGGAAGTAGACCCGTGAGTTATTTAGGGGTGGGAGGTTGGGTGGCTCATGCAGGACATGTTGGCACCTTCCCCGGGGGGCTTGTGCCGGGGGTCGTCTGCTCCTGGTGTGGGATGGGGGGCGGGTCTGAGGCAGGAATTAGATGGGTTGGATTGTGGCAGTGACACCCCCCCCCCCCCCATCAAGGTGCTACTTTATTGTAGGGCTGGGTGATAATTCAATAACGATATATATCGATTGATAGACGTGTGGCGCAATAGGAAAAAAGAGGGTCGATAAAAGTTCGATAAAGAAACACAGTTTTCCTTCCTTCTCATTGTAGCCTATCATGTAGGTTTATGCTAGTCACTACTTCCTCCCAACCAATCGCAATCGCGGACCCAGGCACGCCGTCACAAAGCGCTGCCCTCTCAAAGCACAACACAGAGCATATGAAGATGTTGCAGCAAGGAGAGGTGGAGGAAATTGTTCCAAAGAAGGGTTTTTGTAGTTCGCCAGTTTTGCAGTATTTCGGTCATAGCAAGTCGGACAAAAAACAAACCACAGTCATCTGTAAAATGTGTAGGGAACCAGTGAAAACGAAGTCTGATAACACAACCAACTTTTTTTTTTTATCATCTCAGCTGCTCACACCCGCAGGAGTACAAGCTGTCTAGGCCCCGACGCAGCTCTCCTCCGAGCAATCTTCGGGAATTTTGGGGAAAAAATAAATAAATTTATATATATATATATATATATATATATATATATATATATATATATATATATATATATATACATATACATACCTATCAATATTTTGAGGGGTCCCCATCTCCCGATCGTGCGAAATACCGATCTAAATTTTCTAAATATGCAGTAGGCCTATAACATTTCAAAGTCAAAGTCAGCTTTAATGTCAATGCTTCAGATTTACCAGACATACTAGGACTCGAGAGGATGTTCGTTTCTCATTCACCAACAGTGAAACCGATAAAGTGCACATGCACAACAGATCAGTTCCTAATACTAAAATTTAAACATTCAATTTCACAATAAAATATAAAATGTACAATAATATAAAATATGCAGTACTTATGCTAGTGCAAAAAGGCAGATGGTAATGGCAGCAGAAAAAATATTATTACCAATTATGTAAGATATAGCATTTGTAACAGTAACAGTGCAAAAGAACAGTAAATAAATCTCTTGTATGCACGCACATGTCCTGCTTTAATCCAGTTTCTGTAATGCGTTCAAAACCTTGGACCCAATGTTCAAAAACAGACAGATCTGGATAGTTCAAAACTAGACTTTATTTAACTCTCAGTATGGCTGCTTGTCAGCTGGGGTGGATAAACCGGATCCTATGTGGGAACAGAAACTCAGGTCAGTGACTAATAAGGGTAGATAACAAATAAGAGAAAATAGTCACTGACCTGTTTCTGAGCGGAGCTGAAGCCAGCCGAGGCCGAGGGGCAACAGAGTCCTGAAGGGAATGTCCAAAGCCGAAGTCGAACCAGAACCAAGTTCACAGACCAGAGGATCAGAAAGCCGATGAGGTACAGAAGGGGAATCCAAACCAATGTCAGAAAAACAGCCCAAGTTTGGTGAGCCAGGTGAATCCAGGAATCAGTCCAGAACAGAGCAGATTAAAGAGCAGACTAGGGCAAAGCAAAACTCAGGATCCACAGGACAGAAACAGGTCACAATTTAGATAATCAGAAAAACAAACAGAAGACTAGAGTTACACAAAACAGCTTGAATATTCTGGCACTGGTAGCTGGAAAACACACAGCATATATAGGAGCTGAAAACAGGTGGATCAGATAAGCAGTAATGAGAAAAACAGACAGAGTTAAACAGGTGAGTGGAATGAGCAATCAGGCCAGCCACCAGTGCCAGGATCATGACAGAACCCCCCCTCAAGGGCGGATTCCAGACGCCCCAATGGGTTGATCTGGGTGATCCCTGTGGAAAGCCCTAATGAGGTCTTTATCCAAGATGAACCGGGCCGGGACCCAGGACCTCTCCTCAGGTCCATACCCCTCCCAGTCTACTAAATACTGGGGCCTCTCCGCCTAGACCTGAGAAGGCGGCGGACCGTGTAGACCGGGTCTCCATCAATGAACCGGGCAGGTGAAGGTGACCCAGGTGTGGGCACAAAACCAGAGGACCTAACAGGTTTGACCCGGGATACATGGAAAGTGGGGTGAATCTTTAAGGTACGAGGAAGCTGGAGGCGGACGGCCACCGGGTTCACCACCTTAACAATAGGGAATGGCCCAATAAAGCGGGGAGCCAACTTCTTGCTGTCGACCTTGAGAGGCAGGTCCCTAGCTGAGAGCCAAACTCTCTGACCCACCCTGTAAGTGGGTGCCGGAACCCTCCGGCAGTTGGCAGCCCTAGCTTGACCAACCAGGGCCTGAGAAATTGTTCTCCGGGCCCTTCTCCAAGCCCGTTGGCAGCTAAGGGCAGAAAGGTGTGCAGAAGGAACCTTAGACTCCTTTTCCTGTATGGTGAACACCGGTGGCTGAAAACCAAAAACAACATAGAACGGAGAGAGTCCAGTGGTGCTAGAGAGAGCAGAGTTTATAGCATGCTCTACCCAAGGGAGTTGGCTGGCCCACTTAGTGGGATCAGCCTCACAGAGAATGCAGATCTTTGTCTCGATCTCCTGGTTGGCCCTCTCTGTCTGGCCATCTGTTTGGGGGTGAAAACCGGATGAGAGACTGACAGAGACCCCCAACAATGAACAGAACTCCCTCCAGAACCGAGAGACAAACTGGGGACCCCTGTCAGAAACAATGTCAGTGGGGAGACCATGGAGCCGAAAAACCTCACGGGTGAGGACCTCCCCCATTTCCTTAGCTGAGGGGAGTTTGGGTAGAGGGACCAAATGCAACATCTTAGAGAACCTGTCAATGATTGTAAGGATGACAGTATTACCATCAGAACAAGGTAACCCAGTAACAAAGTCCATGGCAATGTGCGACCAAAGACGGGACGGGATGGGTAATGGCCGGAGGAGACCAGAAGGTGGTCTTTTGGATGCTTTGGATTGGTTACACTGTAAGCAGGCTGCCACGAACTCCCGCACGTCAGCAGACAGAGAATGCCACCAAAACTGAGAACGAACAATGTAAATAGTCTTGGTTATACCAGGATGACAGAACAGATGAGAACAATGACAAAAACTCAAGGACCTTCCCTCTCAGAGCATTAGGAACAAACAGACGATCAGACGGACAACCACTGGGAGGAGTTTGGTCAAGAAGGGCCTGTCTAACCTCCTCCTCTATGTTAACCATAGTTACAGGACACCTCACAGATTCAGGCAAGACATACTCCTCAGCTCCACTGGGACTCTCCTCCTCCGCCTCAAACACCCTGGACAAAGCATCGGGTTTGGTATTCTTGGACCTGGGTCTGTAAGACAAAGAGAAGTTGAATCTGCCAAAAAACAGTGCCCACCTAGCCTGTCTGGGATTAAGTCTCTTGGCTGACTTGAGGTACTCCAGATTCTTGTGGTCTGTCCAGACCAGAAACGGAATACCTGAACCCTCCAGCCAGTGTCTCCATTCCTCCAAAGCCAGTTTGACTGCCAGCAGCTCTCTATCCCCAACATCATAGTTCTGCTCAGCTGCTGACAGTTTCTTGGAAAAGAAAGCACAAGGGTGGATTCTTCCATCCTCAGCCTCCTGACTGAGCACCGCCCCGACCCCGGTCACGGAAGCATCCACCTCGACAATAAACTGCCTCTTGGGGTCGGGGGACACCAGAACTGGGGCTGAGGTGAAGGCAGCCTTGAGCCTCTGAAAAGCTCGATCCGCCAGATCGGACCAGCAAAACCTGACCTTGGATGATGTGAGGGCATGAAGGGGCGCTGCC